AGTCAGGGGCGATTTGTCTGGCAGGTTCATTGCACCCCGGCATCATGGAAGAGAGCTCTGAGGAGCAAAGCCCATTCATGTAGTGGTAGAAACAAGGGAGTCCAGAGACCATCCGTAAGCACTACTGGAGCTAGCTCTTATCTAGGACCTACATGTATAGATTGAGAAGGTTATGTGGACCTCTTAGCCATAAACAAAAAGGAGTTGCCATGATTGACGAGATCTGTTCATGCCAGATCAAGTCTTTGGTGATCCAGACTTCCACCAGCCGAAATGAACGGCTCTTTGTTAGAACCTTGGGCATCCATCGAAACCGGATGCTAGGATGCTAGGGCGCATCTTGTTGGTCACACTGCGTTCCCCTACACATCTCTCGTCTGACTCTAAGTCGCTGCTACTCTCCTTTCCTCCAGCTTAGTGACAGTGATCGGCATGGCACTCTGATGTGCAGCATGTAGTGGGCTGACATCAGCGAAGCTGTGGATCGGATTCATCGTATACGTAACGAGATCGCTGACATTGTGGGATGAAGAGGAGATCCGTCAATTATGAGGGATATCTTGCGGCCAGAGAGGAAGTCAGCCATCATCTGCAAAGCTGCTCTTGAAGGCCGTAGGGAGGATAAAAGTTTGCAAAAGGGGGCAGCTACTAAGGGTAAACGAAATTTTTGTATACATTCTCTCAGAAAAGGACGAAGGAGCCTCTTTACTCTTTAATACTCGTTGTGAAATTAAAATTCCAGTGTAAAAGATTCAAATATTTTTTTTGTATCACGTTGACCATTTACGATTTTGAAAAAATTCGATCCCTGGCAGTTGGACTGACACCATATCAATTTCATAATTTTTTGTCTCGTACGACGTCCATTAGAATAAATTTATATGTAAAATACTTTCCTACAAATAAAAACATCCTATCATATAAATTTTGTTCACAGCCAAACTAAAATTGATCATCTACTTCACTGTTTGGACCACCACTGCCTCTGTTGCACGTGCACTATTTTGAGCATCAGAGTCAACAAAACACTACCCTTACAATGTCAAAATATGTGAGCTCAAATTATGCACGTACAGCACAACATATTGACGTATAAACCAAACAAAATTAAAATCCTCGTAGAATCATTTATTGTACATTCAGGGGAAATTGATAACGACGTGTTTTCAACCTAATTAAACGGTACTGAGCTCGCTGTGCCGGTGAAATATTGTTTTGCAATTATCAGTTCTACAGTCTGATCCATATATCCTGTCGATAAACCCTTTGGCATATTGCAAATATGTTCATGTCCAAAATAAAAATTGAGTCATAAAACCTTCTATTCGAAAAACTTTTTTTTAGAAACAACAATAAAGCAAAAACAGATGATTATGGCAGAAATTACTCAGTACTTACTTGATATGGACTTTCAATTATTTCCCTTATAGCACTGCATGGAATGGAAACGTTCAGAATGACATGGATATGTGTGTCATTTTCTGCTTTGCCAAATTTGATGTATAAACAAGTAGCCCTGTCTACACTGACGCACGTAACCAGGTACAGGCCCTATCTTAAAAGTTTAATGTCTGTGCGCTACTATAAAAGTTTGCTTATTTACAGCTGTAAGAGGTGTATGTGAGAGTACCAACATCAAGAATATCTTATACGTAATGTTAGGGAAACTTCATTGGTTGCATTTTTGGTCTGAGTTATGCTTTCGTGGACCGGAATAGCGTAGAGTTTTTCTTAAATTCTCGACAGTACAGGAGCAAAGAAATTACTTTACCAGTTTGCTTTTGGTGTCATGCAAGTGGTGCAGCAACATCAGAGGGCCTTGATGCGTATAAGAAAAGGATTCGTAAAAGGTTATCGACAACTTCGTTCACGATCTTAAATGAGATTGCCGATAAAATACAGCAAAAGCATATATACTAAGTGACATATAAATCCGAACTCCCAGTTTAAATGGTTTTATTTTAATAAAAGTTGGTGAATGTATTTATCTTACTGTAAATAACAAGTGAAAAAATTTTCAGCCTTATCAATTGGACATTCCGGTTTTTATACTGCTTTTTTTTAATTCACTCACGCTCTAAAAATGAATATTTCAGCCGCAGTAAAGAATCAACGTTGGCGGATTTCGGTTCTTGACATTCTTTAGGATCGGTTACGATGCCTAGAGTGCGGAGACCTGTACGATTTCGTCAACTTAGTGAGTTTGATAGGGGCCGTATAGTGGGACTTCGGGAAGCTGGACTTTCTTTTCGGGCAATTGCAGTTAGAGTGCAAAGAAGTGTAGACACTGTGGTTAGGTGTTGTCAGGCATAGCTTCGAGAAGGCCGTACGCAAAGAGCAAGGGCAGTGGACGCCGCCGTAGAACAACAGACCGTGAAGATCGCCGTCTAAGATTATTGGCCTTAAGGGACCGCTTCTCCACTACCAGGTCCATTGCAAATGAATGGTTTGCAGAACACGGCATGCGAAGTGTTTACCGACGAATGAGAAGGCTTGTGTTCATACCGGCCCAACTGGGTCCTCCCTTTAACTCGAGAACACCGACGTAATCGCCTTGAGTGGTGCAGACAATGGTCACTCTGGGATCAGGAATGGAACAGTATTGTCTTTAGTGACGAGTCTCGATTTTGTTTAGGCATGCACGATGGTCGTGCCAGGGTTAGAAGGCGACGTGGTGGAAGGAGGAATCCACAGTTTTTTGTTGAAAGACATGTTCATCACACTGTTGGAGTTATGGTTTGGGGTGCTATAGCTTATGGTTCCAGGTCACCTTTAATCTTCATCAGAGGTAACATGAACGCGCAGCGTTATATCCACGAAGTTCTAGAACCCCATCTTTTACCCTATCTTGACACCCTGGCCCATCCAACTTTCCAACAAGATAATGCCCGACCACATGTTGCAAGAGTCACAATAGACTTCTTTCAACATAATGATGTCACATTGTTACCATGGCCACCAAGATCTCCCGACTTATCCCCAATTGAGACGTGTGGGATATGATGGGTAGGAGACACTTGTAAGTTCGTGGCGTCATATCGTTGGTGTGGAAATACAATTTTAGATTTGTGTCAAAAATAGCTCCCAGGTCTTCAACTTCACTTTTTTTTTATTAGCGATGTGTCACTCACACACAGAACAATTGTAATCTCCCTATGTCAGTCTTCGACTAAAAGAGGGTTTGAAACATTTATGAACTTTTTTCCATCTATTCAAGCTTCTTAATGGGTCTGGAAGAGAACAACTACAATAATTTATGTTTTGGACGACTTATCGTATTAGCCCAAAATTGTGGCCCATATAATGCTCACACTATTCTGAAAGGGTAAACGGGTAGTAAAATTGCAAAAAATGCTTAAATTTGTTTTTTGATTGTCTTTTTTATTCTGACAAAAATCTGATTTCTGACCGGAAATTTGCGATTGAGAGAAGTAGTCTTACCGTCTCCGGACTAAAGCATATTAAGAGAAAGTGCGGCCGTCATTTGTGATAAATGGTGAATGCGCATACTAAACTGAGCTGATGAAGTTGAAAAATTATTTACTTTTGTTCCTCAATATACTCCGTGATTCTGAGAGAAAACACTGAAGATTTGCGTTCAGGAGGATTTTGTCATGACTTCCGGACTGAAGCCATTTAGCGTAAAAACTGTTGCTGAAACTTATGAAAATGGTGAATGTGCACACTAGGCTGTACCGACAAATCGATATTATTGAAGAAGATGTCTTACTCCTGTAATTAAGACAAGGTTTGTACGTCTTAACATCCACAATTTCCGCCATCATCATTTGACCACCTTTGGTTACGAAGTTGAGTCTGCTACTGACCACACTCAGAATTTTTAAAGGATATGCTTCCTATGCCAAGTATAAGGTGAAGATTATGAATATCCTTTTACTTATGTCACTGCTTTGAAGGATATGCTTATACTCAAAAAGCAAAAGCATTTACTTCAAATTATTATAAATACCATCCGTAGGATTTCCTTCAAAATTTACAAGTACAAGGATATCATTTGTTTTATGAATAAGGCTCAATATATCCATCTTTCAAATCATTTGCAAACAGAAGAGTGTTGCAAATCAAGGTGGATGTTACGAGTATGTCGTTTATAAATATTATACTAAGTGCCACGATTACTCAGATAAGACTTGAAAAGATTGTCTAATTCCTTACAACGGACCGCAATAATTGAGTTTAAAAGTTAGCCATCATTTAAGACATAAGATACACTTTTAGTAGTCGATTATCTGGACTTGGCACAGAATAAGAATAAAAAAAGGATAAGGTACTTACTCAGAACAACTTCTTCCCAGTATTTTGTATATTCTTTCGTACGAATAACGTATGATGTCAATCTACTGCTGTCGCAGCTTAAACTTAAATTGTCCCCACGTATCTGCTTACAAGATGTATATTATTATATGCACATCTCCAACTTCATAGAACCAACATCCCGAAGAAGTATACGTACGATGTTGGAATAATGGCATCTCCTGGAAACTTTTCGACAAAGTTTATGGGCCAAGGCGCCAGAAAAGCATCGCGCATTATACGCCTGTCAGATAGAGCTCGCGCTGCACTGAAGTATATGACTTTCGTATTGTTTAATTCAATATAGCAGAGCCTTTCATAGGAGATTATTTCAACCAACTTTCCCAGTGACGCTTATAGAACCTCTTGGAGCTCTTTTCGTCATAACTTGTTATCAAACTGTCTACCATAAAATTGGACTGCATAAACTAGGGTTCTTACGAGAGGCTTAGCTGGTTACTATCTCATAGCATACCGTAAAGTACTCAAAATTTTTGAAGTCGCTGCTCTAAAGCGCTGCTCCATGAATTTTTTCAATTATGTCTCAAAGTGAAAAGGCGCTTTAAAATGGTAAAAATAGAGTTTATATTAATTTAAAGCATTGATTCCCAAAGTGGTCTATATCGACCCCTAGGGGTCTATGACAACCTGCAAGGAGTCTACGTCAGCGAAAAAAAATTTTGTGCATGAAATGAATATGGGGGTCCATGATAGTGGATCTCAACACATACACTGATATTACCTATTTACTTACATCATACTATCTTATAATAACAATACAACTGGACGAGTCAACTTTACCTGATAATGCAGCATTATTATTGGCATATGTTCGTTTTATTATGAATCAAGAAATCTACGAAGAACTGCTCTTCGCAAGAACTTTGATAACCGACACTAAAGGTAAATCAATATTTCATGTTTTGAAGGATTACTTCATTGAAAAAGCAATTCCTTTATCAAATATATAATATCAGTAGCTACAGATGGAGCACCTGCCATGGTTGGACGTTATCGTGGATTTATAAGCTATTTAAAACAAAATGTGTCAGGGGTGTTAGCAATACATTCCGTCCTCCATCGACAACATTTAGTTGCTAAAAATTTGAGTTGTGTGAAGAAAATGACGAACACTTTCATCAATTACTCCTTCACACTGAAGTACGCTGGCTGTCGAAAGGCTTATGTTTGACAAGATTTTTTGCACTTTTTGAGACTATTTTAGAATTTCTGGATACTAAAGATAAAATTTTAAAAGAAAATTTTTTGAAGAGGAAGACAGATATCGCCTATTTAACAGATATGTTTACAAAATTTAATATGGTTAATTTGCAATTACAAGGTGACAGTTTAAATTTGATTAAAACAAAGTCCATCTTATCAGCGTTTCTTGCCAGAGTTAAACTAATGAAGCAAAATATTGGACGGGGCGAATTTTCTCAGTTTCCTAATTTGTCACAGACAAGCTGCCAGAAAGACGACGTTTCAACTTACGTTCAACATTTAAATGCCCTCTATTCAGATTTTGAATCTAGGTTTGAGGATATTTTGGCTATGGTAATACCACCGTGGATAATTAATCCATATGGTGACATAGAAGAAACGAATGTCATAATATAAGAGGAACTGACTGAACTAAGTACAAACGAAGAACTTAAGGTTCAGTTTAAAAACGGATATCAGCAATTCTGGCTGCAAAATAACATACCCGTTACTTATCCCGTATTATAGAATATAGCGAGGAAATTTTTAATTTCCTTTCCATCGTCATACCTAGTGGAAAGGGGGTTCAGCGCTGTTACCAATCTCCTAACGAAAAAAAGAAACAGACTGGACATCATTAGCCGAGGAGATTTAAGATTAACCCTTACAAAATTGACGCCAAATGTTGATAATTTATTATTAAAGCATCAGGTTCATCCGTCTCACTAAAAATATTGACTTATTGCTTATGTTATTTTATTTATAGTTTATTTTATGTTTATTGGTGTCTGACCAATAAATGCCCGCATTGGGAATAAGTGCCCGCATTTATTTTTTTAAAGAACCCCCCTTTATAGAAAATATTTTTTTTAAATTATTCTGAAAATTCAAGGATAGGTACACACTAAACTTCGTTAATTTTTTGCCTATTTTTAGATAACTTAAACGTATAAGAAGCGGAATTTAATCAAACTAACAGTGAAATTATTGTAAAACATACGTTTATGTTATAATTAATAAACGAACTCGCTTATTGTACTATTTTAAGTAAAAAACATTTTTTTTATTATTTTTCATTTTTTTTATTTTATCCCTCTTATTTTTTTTCAATGCGGGCACTTATTCCCAATACGGGCACTTATTGGTCAGACACCTGTTTATTTAATGTTACGTATATTTTACATAACAGATACAAAAATTTACTTTGAGTAGTTTTAATTTAAATTCAATTAAAAAATGTATAAATTAACATGTGTTTTTACTTTAAGTTTTTAACACTAAACTTCACTACAGTTAGACATTTACAGGAAATCAATATCAGGTAAGTAGTGGGTCTACCCAACACGAAAAAACATGCCAAGGGGTCTACGACACAAAAAAGATTGGGCAACTCTGATTTAAAGGATCTTGGGTTGGTCGATTATTTTTTGGACGTGGAACATCAGCAGTAGAACAACTTTTCATGTAGTATAACATCATCTATACTGTAAAAGCGTGTTTTAAATAATTAGAAAAAACAGCCGGCTTGCATAATAATGGTGAGTAAAAGTTTTCACAGTTCTCAACAGTGGGTAAAATACAGCGCCTTTCCAACATTTGGATCACATATTTGAATGCCTGGAAGTCCTAACGTTGTTGGAGAGATAACATGTATAAGTAAAAACCCAGTTTCGTGCTCTTCTTCGATAGCCTGTCATAGGTTTGATTTCAAAATCTTGTTTGAATTTAATTTAATACTCCGTTGATTCTACTAAGATTTGATATGGATATTTCCTTTCTCTTAAATAAATCACGCAGTCATTCTGAATCTGTGTCATTATTTACCTCTCTTCCTTCTAACTGATACGATATTTGAGTCAATGTGACTATAGTATACAGAATACCAGTCTTTGAGTATTTGAGGCAGTTTCAGCCATCATGACAGAGAAGAGCTCAGCCAATTAAGAGTAAGTTCCAGTATTATAAAAGTTGCTGTGTCAGATTCTGGGCGCGCCTATTTTCCATGAGTTTCTTGGATTTTAGATAAACGTAGCGACGAATAATATTCTAACCAGTCATTCTATCTCTAATATTGCTACAATACTCACTGGCATCACAAAGAAGTAGTACTGTTTAGTCAGGAGCATTGGTGCATTCATTGACCTTTTTTAAAAAAGTTTTTCTCAAATTGCAATAATGTCAGCCTTATTCCTTTAGAACTGAGATATAAAAGTGTTTCTCAACAATTTTTGATAGCCAATAATTGTAGCTTTTGACACGTATTTTGAATTCTGGAAAAATCGTTAACACACTAGTTAAAGCTTAAATGGAAAAAAGTTCTACACATATCTCGGGTATAACAGCTATGTCGCTGCTATACCTTGGCAACATCGTTTACAATGTGAAGATACATACCCGGTTAGAATGTTTCATCACAAGAACTACAAAATCAGGCAAGAACAATCGACAAAATTGTACGTATCGTGGCAGCTTACGGGCCTTACATTATAAACTAAATAGTTCTTGTATGGCCGGGGTAGTTTAGAAACGTCATTATTTTTCAAAAGTTGTTGACAATTGACTATGCTTCTGAAAAATGGACTCCACTGATACCAAAGATGGAATATTTGAGATTCATACCCCCTATAATTCCTAACCTCCAATCTGTAATATCTCTCAATAATTCTCTGACGTCGAAAAATGAAGGCTTTATCGTCCCTGGAATAGTAGCAATGCGACAGGCAGACCGACAGACATACGGAAATGATGCGTATGCCATACATAACATCAAGTTTTTAAAATGTTTTGCCAACTATCGGAGAAGCAATGAGCTTTGGAGATTTTCCAAAACCTCCATGTTTATGTAAAAAAACATGAAATACCTAAAAAAGGCTAAAAAAACAAGCCGCAACTTCTGATACGTAAGTTGGTCCTCAGTCGGCAAAGCTAAGCTTATCGACAACCCTTTCACGAAATAACACAGTCGGAAACACTTTCAGTGGTCATATTCACCAGCTAGTCGCCCCCTAATCTTGCCCATTTATCGCTCGTCAAGCCGCAGAGAAAAATCGTAAACACGCAATCACCAGCGTCAAACTGCACAGACATTGAATAGTAGGGTCACTCTGCGATTAACCCAGTTTCCATGCGAACAAAACTCAGATGTAGTCCTTTGTCACCAAAAGACGAACAAACTTCTTGAGCACCAAATGAAGTATTCTGAATCTAACGGTAATAGTTTCATAAAAATTGTAGACCACGTCTTTCAGCACCAAGACCGCAATACGTACTATATACAGGGTGTTTCATTTTATTGTTGAATAATTTTAAGATTCGATAGAACTTTTAAAATTAATGCATAAAGTCTAAATAAACATGGGTCGAAAAATGCGTGGCTTCCGAAATACAGGGTGTTTAAATTTACTTTCTAAAATAGTTTTTTTTAAATATTTCGAACAATATTTGATGTATAACAGTGAAAATTGGTATACAAGGGTTTTTTGGTACGACAAAACAAACCATAGGCATAGTTTTACTGTAGCCGCTAGAGGGCGCTCTCTACTATACCTGTAGTGTATTAAAATGACCGAACATTTTTTCTTAGTGCAATTTTTTGCTTTTTGTATAAAAAAGCTGATTCTTCGCACCTTTCAACATAAAAAAGCTCTCTGGTGAATTTTTGTTATAGTTAGCCATTTTTGAGATATTTCGATTTTTAAGGTTCGATGCATTTTTACTTATTTATGATAAAATAACGTTAAAAAGTCAGTATCTCGATAATTTTTAGAAGTAGGCTGTGCCTGCAAATATTTTTGAAATTGAAAGCAGAATAAGGTTAAACGTCAACCTGAAACGTTTTTTTGCAATTGTGAATGCACGAAATTTAGTTTCTTTTACCTGTTTTTTTTTGTAAGTTTTATAAAAATGCCATTTTTATTCTCCAATCAAGAGTTAGCGGATATTCATTTTGTGTATGGCTTTGTAAATGGAAACGCAGAAGAAGCAGCCAGAGAATCCGCACGAAGATTTCCAAACAGACGACATCCAACGCTCAGTATTTGTAAGAGTACATCGCCAAATAATTGAAAATAGTTTTGGAAATCTCCAAATGGATCAAAACATAAACGTTCGTCAGCGCAGATTTACCCGTATGATTCTGCGTGAGTTTGATAGAGATCCGACCACAAGTGTTATGAGAGTTTCTGGTGCCTTGGGAATTTCAGCAAGCCATGTTCACCGTGTTCTTAGAAATAACCATAGACGTCCTTACCATTTGCAACCTGTGCAAGGACTACAGCAGGGGACGGAGAACGAAGAATCACATTTTGTCAGTGGATTCTTGATAGAACTGAAAATAATAGGGAGTTTTTAGGTACCGTTTTATGGACCGATGAGTCATGCTTCACTAGACGTGGAGTGGTAAATTTTCATAATCAACATATTTGGTTGCATGCAGTTTGGGAAAGAAATTTTCAGCATGAATTTAGTATGAACGTGTGGATTGGTATCTACCGTAATCCACTATTTGGACCCTACCTTTTGCCTGTAAGGTTAAATGCTGCGACCTTCTTGGAATTTTTTAAGGCTGAACATGCAAATATGTGGGATGATGTTATGTTAGATTTAAGAAGATTGGCCTGGTTCCAGCTTGATGGTTGTCCAGCTCAATATTCGAGAAAATCCAGAAAGATGGATCGGCCGTGGAGGACCAGTCGCCTGGCCTGCACGATCCCCTGACCTAAATCCATTAGATTTCTTTGTGTGGGGATTTCTAAAAGAAAAAGTGTACCAGACTCCCGTAACCACAAGAGATATGCTGATAGACAGAATCAGGA